TTGTTCGATTTACCATTTAAGGCTGCATCACCACTTACCACCAGGTGGGATTGTGGTCAAGTACTGGCTTATAATAAGTAAAAAAAATACGTCTTGAACTTTATGGAGTGACCTAAATGATGATATAATCATATGAGCATTATGAGTCGTGCACTTTTGAATTTTCCAAACTTTTTTTTAATTAAAGTTTGACATAAAATTATTTGAAAATTGAAAGTGTAATAATAAGGTTATTAGTGAAAACTTGTGTGTATTTAAATTGAAACTATTAAAAAAATTACCTATAATCATGTTATACGTAATTTTTTTAATCCGCTTAGGGCATGCACAATTGGATTTACCAATAGTCTTTTTTTTTATTTGTGTGTGTTATATTTTAAACTATAAGTTTCAACTAAGGGCTAAAAAATCAGCCATCAAATCTCCAATCAGTATTACAATGTACTTAGAAAATAACGGCTAATAACGGAGTGATACACTCCTACGTGGCGGGCGACTCGACTGAAATTGCGCCTAACGATATTTTCTCTGTGATGTTAGTGGTGTCAGCCAGTTGGCTTTTACATTTTTTTGGACTTATACTCCGTTTGGCTAACAGCTTTATCAGACTCACAGCTTCATCGTACTTTTATCTAGCACTTAGACACTGCACTTAGATGCACTTCTACTTTAATTTGAAATTATCCCAAATTGAATGTAATTTATAGGCAACAACGTTTTTGCCTACCGATTGACAATTACAAATGTATAAGTAGCACTTAGATATAACAGTTTCTGCGAATAACATGGTTACGATTACCCACAAATCTATTTGTTATTATTTTGATTAATGTTTGGCATAAACATGAACACTCACGCTTTTCACCCAAAGGAGTTGTCAGCGACTACGGAATTTCTGACATATTTCGCCTCTTTTACATCCATATACCTATACTTACATGTTCATCGGTTAAGGTTACTCTTAATTTGGCTCATCTTCAATATATCGCCTATTTGGTCGATAAACTTCCTGCTAGATCATCCTATACCGACTCTGTCGCTCACTTTTGCAACATAAATTTGCTTCTACATTACCAAAGTACTGAAGCATTCCATTCTTAATCCTGGTTACAGCATCATCTTGCAAACCACATTTTTTCTCTTATCACACAATTTCTCAGTCTGTCATTCAGATTCAGTCCTAACATACTCCTCAATGACCCATAATGAATATGGTGATGTTGATTAAGATTTTAATGATTCATTAATTAGTCTAAGCTGAATGACAAATGAAAAAAATTGCCGTGTAGTGGCGGTCAAGAATATCCACTACCCCATATCCTCCCGTGGGTGTCGTAAAAGGCGACAAAGGGAAACAGGCAGGAGATGGGCAGCAGCATCTTCTTGATAACAACAAACTAAATATAAAAAAAAACTGCGGTTACCAACCCGCTCGCCAAGCGTGGCAACTATGGCAAATACCCCCCTATGAATGACAGTAACAAAGAAACGGCCCCCAGTACTCGGCGGCCCCGCTATTCCTGGCTACGGTGGCGACCATGGTAACGGCGGGGCAGGGGGTGCTAAGAATCTCCGGTGGAGGTTCGGTTGCCACCTTAGACGACTCGACCTGGCAACGTACAACGCACGCACCCTGAGGACTGACGAGAAGATCGTGGAGCTGGAAGAAGAGATAGACAAGTTGCGCTGGCATATTATAGGATTATCCGAAGTCCGAAGAGAGGGGGAGGACACGGTAATCCTCGAATCCGGCAACTTGCTCTATCACCGGGAGGGCGACCATCTGTCCTACGGAGGTGTCGGATTTATCGTCCACAAGTCTCTCGTTAACAACGTTGTAAAGATCGGGAGTGTGTAGACGAGGGTTGCGTACCTTATACTCAGCATCACCAAACGGTATTCGCTGAAGGTCATACAGGTTTACGCACCAACCTCGGCACACCCCGATGAGGAGGTGGAGGAAATGTATGAGGATATCTCTAGAGACATGCATTCCTCCAAAACCCAATATACGGTGTTAATGGGAGACTTTAATGCAAAACTAGGCACAAGAGAGAACGGTGAGCTGAAAGTAGGGAAATTTGGAATAGGGCAACGGAAACCAAGGGGCCAGCAGCTGGCCGACTTCATGGAGAAAGAGGGACTCTTTATGATGAACTCTTTCTTCCAGAAGCGGCCCCACAGGAAGTGAACCTGGTCGAGCCCCGACGGTTCGACAAAAAATGAGATTGACTTCATTATGACGACCAGACGACAACTGTTCAGTGATGTCTACGTGATCGCGAGGGTGAAAACTGGTAGCGATCACCGAATGGTTAGAGGCACACTGAACCTAAACGTTAAGTTGGAGAGGTCTCGTCTAATGAAGTCAACGCTCCGTCGCCCTCGTGCTCTAATCCAAAGTCCCGAAACCTTTCAGCTCGAGTTACAAAACCGTTTTCAGTGCCTAGAAAACTGCAATGAAGTATAATATGAATGACAAGCTCGTGGAAACTGTCCATGCGGTCGGAGCTAAGTTCTGCAAGACCCGCCGCAGAAGAACACAAAAACTCTCCGAACACACTCTTAATCTCATGGCTGTTAGACGGGAGATGAAGCTACATTCTTCAACAGACTTGACAGCATACAGGCATCTGAACAGACAGATCTCCAAATGCATGCGGCGGGACTTACGCAACTTCAATACAGCTCGTATTGAAGAAGCGATCGAGCGGAACCAAGGCTCCAAAGTCTTTGCCAGAGATCTGTCTGCCAGAAAGAGCCAACTGTCAAAGCTGAAGACAGAATGTGGCAGCATCGTTTCCGGGACACCTGAGATTTTGAGTGAGATTGAGAGGTTCTATGGGCAGTTGTACACGTCATCGTTGGAGCCACACGCAAGTGTGAGTAACGATCCAAGAGCGAGTCTCATCCGACACTATTCCGAAGATATCCCGGACGTCAGTCTGAGAGAGATTAGAATGGCTCTCCAGCACCTTAAAAACGGTAAGGCCCCAGGCGAGGATGGAATTACAGCGGAGCTTCTGAACGCGGGTAGAAAACCGGTACTTGAAGTCCTTCAGAGGCTCTTTAATTCCGTCCTCCATGGTGGCATTACACCGGAGGCGTGGAGCAGGGTCTTGTTCTTCAAGAAAGGTGACAACGCTCTCTTGAAGAACTACAGACCGATTTCCCTTCTAAGCCGCGTCTACGTGCTGTTTTCGAGAGTCATTACGAATCGTCTCGCGCGCAGACTTGACGACTTCCAGCCTCCCGAACAAGCCGGTTTCCGAAAGGGCTTTGGCACCATAGACCACATACATACCCTTCGGCAAATTGTACAGAACACCGAAGAGTACAATTTGCCACTATGTCTGGCGTATGTGGACTATGAGAAAGCCTTTGATTCCGTCGAAATTTGGGCGGTGCTGCAGTCCCTTCAGCGGTGCCAAGTTGACTGTCGGTATATCGAAGTGTTGAAGTGCTTGTACAGTAGGGCTACGATGGCTATCCGAGTACAGAACCAGAGTACGAAACCTATCCAATTGCAGAGTGGTGTAAGACAGGGTGACGTCATATCTCCGAAACTCTTCACCGCTGCATTGGAAGACGTTTTCAAGCTTCTGGACTGGAAAGGATACGGTATCAACATCAATGGCGAGTACATCACTCACCTTCGATTTGCCGACGATATCGTCCTTATGGCAGAATCGCTGGAGGACCTAAGCACTATGCTCAATGACCTCAATAGTGTTTCCCAACGGATAGGTCTTAAGATGAACATGGACAAAACTAAGATCATGTTTAATATCCATGTCACACCTATGCCGGTAGTTGTTGGGAACACTAAGCTCGAAGTTGTTGACGAGTATGTTTACCTGGGACAAATAGTCCGACTAGGTAAGTCCAACTTCGACCGAGAGGTCTATCGACGGATTCAACTCGGTTGGGCAGCGTTCGGGAAATTACGGCACATCTTCTCGTCAGGTATACCTCAAACCTTGAAAACGAGACTGTACACCCAGTGCGTGTTGCCAGTGATGACATACGGAACTGAGACGTGGTCCTTCACTGCTGGCCGGATAAGGAAGCTCAAGGTCGCTCAGCGAGCTATGGAGAGGGCTATGCTCGGAGTTTCTCTGCGTGATAAACTTAGGAATGAGGATATCCGCAGTAGAACCAGAGTAACCGACATAGCCCAACGGATTAGTAAGCTGAAGTGGCAATGGGCCGATCATATAGCTCGAAGAACCGACAACCGATGGGGATGAAAGGTTCTCGAGTGGCAGCCTCGTACCGGTAGGCGAAGTGTAGGGCGTCCCCCCACGAGATGGCGTGACGACCTGGTAAGACATGCAGGAAGTCGATGGATGCAGGTGGCTCAGGACCGTGCTTTGTGGCATTCTTTGGGGGAGGCCTATGTTCAGCAGTGGACTTGTGAAGGGTTGTAATGATGATGATGATGATGAATGACAATCACGTAAGTATGTATATTAATTGTCAAATAGATGAAGATGTAAGCGACTAAAATGCCGTATGCGACATGAAAATTTCCGCGAGAAATTCAAATTTTAACGATACTTCTAGTTCTTTGTTTTTTCGCGTTATTTAACTACACAGGCTGTGTGCTTGATGCGTGTAACTTTTTATATTATATTTATATTGATTTAAAAATATTTACTAGCTTTTTTTACATTTCAGCTTCAATTAGAATAGAAATGTCTATAAACTAATAATAATTAGATTTGCTATATAATACTAGCGATCCGCCCCGGGTTCACATGAGTGAATTCTTGATCTCCACAACAGCTCCACCTACCGGGCCCAATTGTGAATAAAAACCATCCAGGGACCCACTCAAACTGACACAAAAAATTTCATCAAAATCGGTAGAACCAGTTTCAAGTTTTCAGCGAGACTAACGGACAGCAATTGATTTTTATATATAGATTTTTGTATAGACATTGTTTTTAATTATTATAATTATGTACATTTAAAAAAAAATGTTGTTGTTGTTACAGATGCACCACCCTATCCAGATGAAACCGGCTGACAGCGAGAACAGAAATGGTGAGTTGATTTAACTATAAACAACATATTAAACAAAAAACGATAATACATTATATTTCAGATTAAAAACCGGATATTTAAATAAATCGTACGTAACCTTTTTATGTAAAAATGCTCCATACTACTGCATGACTTTTGCAGCCTACTAGGATACCTACGCACAAACTCAACTATAATATTTTGATCCTTATATCTCATAGTATTAAGATATTATTTATGAACATAAATTGACATGTTTAAATACAGATGAGCAGAGACAAATGAGCACACAGCCCACCTGATGGTAAATCTATCTTGTGGTCCATAGACATCATCTATCCTCGATTAAGAATCAAAATGCGTTGTCACCCCTAAGGACTAAGATGGAATGCCACGTTAACACGAAAAGGTCCGTGTAAAGTGGGTAAAGTGTCGAGTTCTCTACACTCACCATACGAAACACGGCAGCATGGCATTCTGTGAAACTGTGTTCGAGCTGAATCATTCGTGGTGCACCCATAATATAGCTCAACAAGGCTACTACGCTTACGAATAATAGATATGGCTTAATCGTCAGGCTTGGCATGCGAATTTACGATCGCAAAATCTGTCATTTCGTATCTTTCACGAAACAGCCTATCGTTGGTCCAAGTATTTTACGTCTGGCGTTAATTAAATTTGATACCACTATCTGTCAGAATCCTTAACATTTTTCCGGCTTTCTGTTTCCTAATTTTTGTGCTGTACATTGCGCGGCACGTAAGACTAACGCTCAACGAAACGTGTAGAGGATGCGCACGAATTGAATTGTACGAATACGGCTGGAGAGCCAATCAGCGCGTGCGAACGATACGTACGAGCCAATCAGCGCGACTTACCCGCAATAAGCCAATCAGCGTGACTTATGCGCAATAACGGTCACCGCTAGACTTTTGTGTCGCTACTTATAAGTGCTGTTAGCTATAGTCCGTTCGCGTTAAGAAAATAGTGAGTCATCAGTGCAACTACAGGGTAAAGGTGTATTCACAGTGGAGTAAAAATTCTTTTTTTTTTCAAACATTTAATTAAGTTTAATGGAAACAAATTTTCTTAAAATTACTTAAATCACTAATCAGTATCGCTAGATTCTCCAGTTACATTAATTATGAAAGAATTTTGTTCTGCAAGTTCCATGATTTCATCCAAATTCCACATGGTATTTTCTTCGCGTATCACGTGGTCGCAGCAATTCTTCCAACGATTAGCCTCTATTAATGCTATTGCGTCATCTAATATTTTTTTATGTCACTCATATTAAACGTGGAGTTATTGGCAACTACAGCCTTTCTATGTGGCTTATCAGCCGGTCCAAAAGCTCCGACAGGAAAAGGTAAAAGGTTTATTGTATATCTTCTGTTTCGTTTGAAAGCATCTGTAGCAATGAAAATTTATTCCAACACAGTTGATGTATATTTGCGATGCATAATGGGAGCTAGAGCAGGACTGATTATATCGCTACTACTGCTTTGAGAGAAACACTGTACACCTCGTACAGTGCTCCTCTCGAAGCGATATCTCAATTTAAATTATTTATCCGTAAACATTCCGAAAGGATTTCTCCAACGTCTTAAATTTCTGGGTACTGATATTTTAGAATTTATAATAATAATTAAAGAAGAAATAATAATAATAAAAATAAACTCTTTTTATCTATATAAGATAGGGTGACAAACGAGCACACAGTCCACCTAATGGTAAGTGGTTGCTGTGGCCCATAGATATGTACATTTATCCTCGATTACGAATCAAAATGCAGATGCGTTGTCACCCGTGAGGACTAAGATGAAATGCCTTGTTTCCAGTAAAAAGGGTCTCCGGTTCTCGACACTCACCATACGAAACACAGCAGCATTAAGCTGCTATTTTACGCTGGTATTCTATGAGAGCGTGGTCCTTACCCTGTCAAGCCGACCCATTCGTGCTACTACTAATATAGCTGCAGCATAGCTCTACCACGTAAAAAACTCCAGTACTTCCAAATCAGACTATGACGAATTACACGTATTCATTACATTTTATCATTTGAAAATTTTAATATTTAACGTTCACTGACCATTTATTTTAATAATAACACGTTATAACGTAAAAGTTGATGGAGTTTGCTTGAAATAAAACGTCAAATAAAGTTGTCGAACCGATAAACGGCGCACATTGGTCAGATAAGTTAACCTAAGTTTAAACGCAGTTTATCTTAAATTGCGGTGTTCGAAAACGCATTTTCTTAAGTTATCGAACCAATAGTACTAACAAATAGATAAACCGCCGATAAAAGTACCTCATAAACCGAACGTTAGTCGCTGAATTACCACGGCACACCGTGGTAACTTAGGGGCTAAGTGCTAACACTATAGATGAGTTATCTAACCGGCGCGCCGCGAAGTCCGAGCAGAGATGGGATTTTCCTGTCATTTCCTACAATAGTCGCCTCCACGGACAGACATCCACGGGACGAAATAAAATGATGGATTGTTTTTCACAACTACAAAGTACACGCGACTACGCCAGGGCTCTTGAATTTAAAAACCAACTAGGGCCAACATTTTCCCAAATATGCAAATAGTTAGATTTCGAGTTCGAGTACGTTTTGATTACGCCAGTGCCACTCCTAGGCGCCTACATATATCCTCGATTAATAATCAAAATGCAGATGCTTCGTTATCCCTGAGGACTGAGATAGAACGTCTTGATTCCAGTAAACGGGGTCTCCGCTTTTGTCACTCACCATAAGAAAACAGCAGCATAAAGCTGCTATATTACGCTGCTATTCTGTGAAAGCGCGGTCCTTTACTTGTCAAACCAACCCATCCGTACAGTAGCTATAATATTGTCCTCCAGACAGAATTTCGGTTACGTTGGCCAGTCTCAACGAAGGCCAGCAAACACAGGTGCACTCTCTATTCTCCTTTTACCATAATCCGATGGGACATAATCCGACACGATTAGAGAAATCAGGCGCGCATTATCAGTTATGTGCTTTTCGAGGCACGGAGGTGAAACGCCGTTAACTTCCTGACTTCGGACTAATACTAAAAATTTATTTATTTATTTACTCTTTATTGTACACCAAAAAACAAAACAAAACGAATACAGTTAAATCTAAAGTAGAAAATGTACAACAGGTGGTCTTATCACTCTGAAAGTGATCTCTTCCAGACAACCTTAGTGTAGAGAACTGATGCAAACAATAGTTAAAAATAGAGGGGGGCGTACAGAATAAAAATAAAAATATGAAAATACATACAAATAAAAATAAGTGAAGATTATGTATAATATAATATAATAGATTAAATGAAAATAGTACGAAAAAGGAAAAGTAATTTATCTAATAGCGTTCTAAGTAATACGATTTAACAATACTTTTGAAAGAATGAAGAGATTGAGCACGACGAATGTGGAGAGGTAAAGAGTTCCACAAACGTACAGCAGTTACAGTAAAGGATTTCTTAAAAAAAGAGGAAGAGTGCGAAGGAGTAGAGAGAGAAAGATTGACAGAGGATCGAAGGAAGCGATTATGGGTAAGGGAAAGATACTGGAAACGGTTTTTTAAATAATGTGGAGTGGAAGGATTTAACAGCGCGCCATACAAAGTGGAGAGAATGTGAGTATTCCTGCGAAGGCGGATCGGGAGCCATTTGAGCTGTTTGCAAAATTCAGAGATATGATCAATATTTGCGAAGCCCCAATATGAATCTAATACATAAATTTTGAATGCGCTCAAGCTTATTAAGCTGCACCTCGGTAATGTCAAGATAGCATATTTCAGCATAGTCAAGGATAGGCAGAAATAGAGATTGGGCGAGCGTAACTTTAGTAACTGTGGGATGAAAATTACGTAATCTACGTAAAGAGCTTAAAGCAGCAAACATTTTTCTACTAACCTCATTAACCTGTGAGGGCCAAAAATTTATTGAGAGAAAAATCCAATAACTGATTTTCACCCGACCGGGAATCGAACCGAACACGACACATCATTAGTAGTTGCGTTTACGACCACTACACTAACAGGGCATACACTAAACATTAGCTTTATTACTCGTAGTAGTACTACCAAGAGTAGACTGCGTCTTGTCTGGTGTTAACAACATTGTTAGTTTTTTTTTTTTATTTTATATTATGGACATTACATACTTTCTTTGAACAAGTTTTAATATCTTTCCTTAAAAAAACATTCAACACTAAGCGCTTTAAAGCGTTAAATTTCTCATCGCAAGTGGTGTTTTACAATGAGCGTAACAGAGACACAGTTCATCTAAAACGAGCTCGGTTAATCAAGCCGAGCTCTATCATGCCGTTTTTTAGAGCTGCACAACGCGAAACACGTGCTCTTACATAATAATCCAGCGCTTACAGGGATGCTTTTATATGCTCTTTGCAATCCTTTTTATTTTTACCTATGCCCCAGTTTTTTTTTAAGAAACTTGCTTTTTGAAATGCGCTTAAAGCAATGCTAAAGCGAGTGAGTCGACGCCAGTTACATGCGTGTTTCATTCTAATAACGGAGTTAAAATTGAAGCAAGATTTTAATTGAATTTCATTTCATAGTTTTATGAAAAATAAATTTTCAAATTATTTTATTGCAATAAAGTTAGAGTAAACGACCTAACAATGTCCACTTATTTGACTTCTTTAAGCTGGAAGTGTGGTACTAATCCAAAAAAACCCTACCACCTAGCAAAAAATCTGTAGTATAATCAGTTATTTCTATTGTTTAATGACTTTAAATTACTTACTTACTAATAATGAGTTTCTATATATATCAGTATATAAATACTTCACCCTACCCTACACCTCGCCTTCCGGTACGAGGCCGCCACTCGAGAACCTTTCTTCCCTATCGGTTGTCGGTTCTTCGAGCTATATGGCCGGCTCATTGCCACTTCAGCTTACTAATCCGTTGGGCTATGTCGGTTACTCTGGTTCTACTGCGGATATCCTCATTTCTAAGTTTATCACGCAGAGAAACCCCGAGCATAACCCTCTCCATAGCTCGCTGAGC